TATTGTAGGACTTGATGAAAAATTATTAATTCAATCAGAAAAAAAAGGATTATCTTGTTTTTACTGATGTTATGCTGATTCACCTACACCTCCTCTGAGCTCTAAGGTCAATGGTTTTGTTATAATGTTGATAATGGGGATGCCATAGTGGTTTGTCAGCGTCTGGAGTACATGATGTCCATGTCCATGCTGATAGTTTCTTTTTCCACACGTTAGGATCAACTAGGAGTCAATTTTAATGCTTGCTGACTGCTTTTGTACCTTTTTGTTTCTTCAATGGTCTACAGTTCCTGGTTACTTATGGATTTACCATATACACAGTCCTTTTTGCATATATTATAAACTATTTCTTTGTTATCCTTCTAACCTCTGCTTTCATCTAGCTCTATGTCTGCATTTCATTATCTGACCACTGCTGTTTTTTGTTGTTGCTGTGCCTTCAGGCTGGTGTCTCCCATGCATGTACTTAACACTATATTCTATCTCCTATTCTCAAAACCTTTCCCAAGACACTAGTTTTGTATTTTTCTATAGTGAGTGATTATAATAGATAAATCATAAAACCTGGGTGGCTCCACACAAAGATAAACAAAAGTAAATCAAATTAGCCATAGCCAGATGGTCAATTAGAAAAATTGCTGCTGCAGCAAAACTAAATGTGACAAATATGTAGACAGGTCTAAGAAAACTCAGACAGAACAGGGCTCAGTCTTAAGCCGTGCAAACTCACTATAGAGGCCATGCTCTGTCGTAAGAAATGGCAAGACGTAAAGCGTTGCAGTACATGCAGTGTTTTAGATTAACCGCGTTCTCAACATAGATGATGTTTGGCATACTTCACTGGAAAAGCTGGAAGATATGGATGGGTTAAATCATGTGACAAAATTTGGAAATTACACTCGTATATTCTAAGAATAAAAGACTTGTTTGTAAAAGCTGGGACCTTGCCAGTCGCTTTGGGAAGAACAGATGAAGGGAAGGGATTTTGAGTAATAGTTATTAACAGGAAGAAAGCCACCTGCAAAAGGCATATGTGATCCTAGAATATGCTGCATATGTTAACTTTGTTAGGGTTAAGAAAAATAAGCATTGCTGCTCACTGGCGGAACTTCATCTGAAATTGCCTATTTTGTTCTGGATGGTCTTGTTGAAAAGACGGCTTGTTCCTATTGGAGCAGGAAAGGAAAGAACGGTTGTTACTGTAAAATTAGATCAGGAGGCAGTGAGGGATTTGGAATGGAGGCTGATGCTCAACTCAGGTCTTTTTAAACTGTAGATATAGTGTGATTTCTGTTTAGCTCTCACAGGTGCTCAGCATAGATATTTTGAGCCGCCTCCACCCTTTTTCTGATTTTTCCTTTATTTTTTTTTTCTTCCAAGCAGAGGTTGATTGAGAAATCAACTGTAAGACTGAAGTAATTCCTGTGCCTCAATGTTGTTGGGAGAAGCCATTTGCTACAGGGCATCTCAGCTGGGCTTCAGTTCTCACCTCATTACACATCTCATGTTTTCCTAACATTTTCTGTTTCAGTGTTTAATTCTCATTAACCATTTCTCTCTTTTCTGTTACTGTTTTGGTGCTCTTTTCATGGCTTTAGTGGTGTCATTTCTTATTTACTCTCTTTTTCTGATCTTGTTCCAACTCATCATTTAAACTGTTTAGAACTCTCTCTACCTTTACTCTCCCTGTTCTGCAGCTCTTTCCACACCAAATGTCTAATTTCTTACTTTCTCTTGTAATTTTTTCCTCTTCTTATTGCTTGTATATATCAGTACCATTTGCTTATGTTCTGCTTTTTGTTCTGTTTAAGGCCTGTCATATAGATTTCTAGAAGTACTTTCCCTTCATGGCACCTAATCTGTAATTTCCACTGATATAAATGGAAGTTTCATTATAATAATCAAAACATCGAAAATGAGTCCACTTGCTAGTAACATTTAAATTGAAGGTTGAACTGGAAATATTAACACAATCTAATGGAAAAGGAAAAGCTTGACACCTTATGAAGAAGAAGCTATTTTTAGTGGAACATGTTGTTTTCAAAAACAAGTCCAGATTGACAGTTTTTTCTCCTCATCCTTTCAATGACCAAGTGAAATACTCGCAAGAAAAATGGAGGATTCATCTTGAATAATTATTGACAAGTGGGATTTTCTTTCCTTCTGAAAAAATACTTAATATTTAATAGGTACTATATATAGGTTATAGGAGATACTTTCATATATATATATACAATATATATATATATGATAATGTCATGAGTGTATGTGCCCTTGCTAATCTATCATGTATAATACAATGATGTAATTTGCTGTAGTCTCACATATTACATCAGATTCAGTGTGTTTGTGAGGTGTGAAACGAGGCATGATTCTGTTCAACACAGTTTTCCACTTGCTTATAATTAATAGCGAAGGCACTTTAGGAAACAGCTTGTCTCTCTCTGCCAGAGGGATACACATATCTGTGGGTTCAGTGTTTCCTTAGACAACTTGGCAAGGATTTCAATTGCAGAGGAACCTGGAGTCTTTGACAAATATGCTACATTGGGGCTTCATAGGGTTTTGTTTATAAGGCTTTGGAGTTTTTTGGACTCCACAAACTAGGTATTTTTCCTCCCAGTTTTGTGGAAAATAATACAGATGAAATTTGAACTTAAGTCTCTGTCAACTTGATATAAGGCATCTTCCCTATGGACAGACATTTACAACTCTTGCTGTTTCTGGCAGCTCATGAAGTTGTGCATTACCATTTCCCGCTGCTAGCAGCAGTGATGTAGGAGGAAGCTCTTTGCCACCCTAGCACGTGCCTCTGGCATGTAGTGACATCCTGTGCTACAAAGCTCCTATGCAGCCTTACTTCATCAAGGACTATTTGTCCTTCCCTATGTGTGTCCACATGAGCTGATAATACTCCAACTACGGATTTAGTTATTTGGAGGAGAGGAAGTGAGAAATTGTAGTGGAAATGGGATGAGAGGTGAGATGCAGTGCTGCTGATGGTGAGGTTTCTCTGAGGGGTAGTGCCTGAAAGGAGAAAGTTGAAGTCTTAACAATATTGTGAGTATGTTTAGTTATGAAAGAAAAGTTTGTGTGGTAAGGCAAATTAAAAGGCAGACTACTTATTTATTTATTTATTGCATATTTTACTTACTCATTTATTTATTCTTTTATTTATTTATTTATTTTTAAAAATATGAAATTCTCTACATGGAAAAAAAAATAGCAAAAGAAAGAAAAACTACACAGTAAAGCTCACACAGGATCAGTATGTGTCCAGGCTCTGTTTGAGTTCCCTGGTCATTTCTTTGACCTGCTGTTTTCTGAAGCAACCTAAACTGGTGCTAACAACAGCTACTTCAGGCATCTGAATGCCAGTTATCTTGCAGTTTTCATATAAACTTTAGTTAAATAAAACAATTACATTTTCTCATTTGGCTTCTAGCGTGATATTAAAGCTCTGTACTTAAAAATAAAGTCCTTGTGCTGTGGATTCTACTCCAGTTATTCATGTCAATTGCAGTTATGTTGCTTTTGAACAAGATTTTTGCCAGCAGGGAATACTGAGAAGTACCAAATTAAATTTCCGATGCATTTTGTCTTTAGTTCATGGTGAGAATTATTACATAAATTTGCTATGCTTAGCAGAAGGAACTCATATTTCCTCTAAAATGTCTATGGCATCAGATTAGTTTTCAAAGCCATCATAATGGCACTGTTGATGCCTCCTCCTAGACTGTGGCATAGCACGGGCCTTGGTTTGAAAAAAAGGAGGTGGAGAAACGCTCCATTCAACCTACTTTTATTCTGCCATCTTGGAACCCTATTGCCTACTAGAGAGATGTCTTTGGGAAAAGGAAAGAATGATGTTTTCACATATAGAGCTGTTACGGCCATGCTTTTAGGTAATGTTCTTTAGTATGAGAGTGGTGAAGTGCTGGAAAAGGCTGCCCAGAGAGGTTGCAGATGCCCCATCCTTAGAGGTGTTCAAGGCCAAATGGGCAGCCTGGCCTAGTATTAAATGGGGAGGTTGGTGGCCCTACCTGTGGAGATTCATGATCCTTGAGGTCCTTTCCAACCCAGGCCATTCTGTGATTCTGTGTTTCTGTGTAAAATGATACCAAAATGTGCTAATGCAAATTACAACAAAGTGAAAAGGAAGAATGCATGTAAACTATTTATGTCATCCAGTTCTAAATGACTTTTGGTGACTGGCTAATAACTGATGCTTCACCACTAAACAAACAATATTAATTTGTTTTTATATTGGAATATATGTTTCCTAAATCCAGTTTTTGGGTTCATTAGCATGCTATGAATAGTGTCTGTGTATTCAAGTCCTACCTCTGTGCCCATTTTGCATTTCAGGTTAACTGCTATTAAAAAGAGACACTAACTGTAGGGG